CTGGAGTCATCCGGAGCTTAATAAACTGTTGAGCTAGCTCAGACTTACTCAGCTTAGAGGGAACACTGGAGAGGCGCTGCGCTCGTTGGCTCCCTGGGGCGTGCAAAGGGCTTGGGCTGAAGGGGACTGTCTGGTGCCTCCCATCATTTCCTCGCCCCCACCCTGGCTGCCCACTCACCAGAGCTCCCCCCGACCAGCAGGAGAGCAACTCCCCCTAACAGCAGCTGCAGACTGTGCTGGGCTGCGCTCATTGCCGGAGCCTCTCCGCGCCCTCGGTGCACCCTGGCCCCCGGGATGAGGCGTGCTGGAAAGCGGAACCTGCGGGGCACGGGGAGGAGTTTGCATAGAGCTCTGGCCTCGTCGGCTCCTCCTGCCAGCCTGTGGGTGCCGGTGGGTGGCTGGGCGGGGAAGGGAGCCTCACGCCTCAGCCTGCTGGGCTCTTCCAAGCGAGTCCCGGCCCGCTCCCCGCCCAGCGCCATCTTCGGACTCCGGCCACTCCACTGCGCTGAGGGAAGGAGGGAGGGGAGTGGAGGAAGGAGGGAGAAGCGCCCCCCGGGGGAGGCTGAGCCCCTTCCTGAAAAGTTCGGGAGGGTCTGACGCTCCTCAGCCCCCCTGCAGTTTACACGCCTGATTTGTGGAACAAAACCATCCTGTTCTCTCCCTCTGGAGAGTGCTTGCAGACAAAAGCTAGGGAATGTAGTTCCTGTCGGTCCACAGAGTCGTGTCCCGATATAAAATGCACTGTTAAAAGAATAGCCATGGCCTTAAAATGAGTTGGCCAGGTCATAGACCAGAGAGGCTGTTCTGTTGGGGAGGTCGGGGTAGAGGCTCGCGTCTGCCCAGCGCTCTCTACCTATTCTCAGACACTAACTTTCTGTCTTTCCTTTCAGGCGCTGTCAGCGAGGTCTCTCCCTCCATCTCTCCCCCTCTCGCTCTCCTTGTGAGACGAGAAATTTTTGGAGGGTGTCGCTGTGTGCGATACCCGAGGCCTTGTGTAAAGGGAATTAAAGCAGGGAAGGTATGGTGTCACTGATCTTCTTCTGAGCACAGGGAAGGCGGCAATGTTAGGACTCCAGCTGCCAGTCGAGCCGCGTAACTCAAACTAGCGTGCCGCATCTATGGTGCCAGGGGGATCAGTGGCAAAAGGTTGGAAGGGATCGGGGGCGGGGCGGGCATGTCTTCCGCCGGGCACAGGCAGCGTGCTACCTATGTCACCAGGTCCTCCTCCTTAGAGGAATCCTCAGACATGTACCCACAGTCGCAGCCCTCGTCCCGTCCAATGACAATAGCTATGAAATCATCTTTAGCATTCGCATTTATTGTCCCATCCGATGTTGGCGGAATAGGCCGGTTTTGATCATTCTCACTCCCCCCTTTGACACTGTCCTCACCAGGGGTGGGGGCAGGTGTCACATCAAGGTGGGACATGAAAGAGCCTTCCAATCCACGGAATGGTACTCGCCTGGGCTCACCGCACACCACCGAAGCGACGGGGGCGGAGGCGGCGGGAGCCGAGGGTGGCGGCGTTGGCGCGCTCGGCAGTGGGGGAGGCTGAGGGAGCCCGTCATCCGGCGACTGGTAGCCAAGTGGCCGGTACACCGGGTGTTGCGGCTGGGATGGGGCCACAGCGGGCGGGTTTCCCTTCCACTCCTTCAACTGCGAGGCGTGGAAAAATTTGTGCCAAATTCTTCCTTTGTGGCGGCTTTTAATCGCCAGCTTGTAAACAGCTGGGCTCACCCGTTCAAGAATGGTGGACGGGCCAGCCCATTTTCCCATGAGGGCATGAGGTTTTTTAGAAAAGCAGCGGTAGAGGACCCGCTGTCCTGGTTGCCAAAGGCGGGCATTCTGTACCCAGCCGAGTCTTTTGTCCATGGCAAGAGTGCTCCTGCCAATGGCTCGGGCCACCTGTTGGTGTACAGTTGAAAGTTCTTTTTGGAGCTGGATGATCCATTCATCCGTGACAGCACGTGCCTCCTGCTCCTGAGGGAGGCTCGTGTCCATCCAGAAGGCCTCCGGCAATTTCATACGTCTCCCCGTCATAACGTAATGCAGGGTGTACCCATGAGATGCTAGAGTTCCCCTAATGACCATCAGAATGAGGGGCAGTTTCTCATCCCAGTCCTTCCCCGTGGATTTAACCACCTTGGCTAATGCCTCCTTCAGGGTCCTGTTCATCCTCTCGACAGTTCCGGCGGCCTGTGGCCTTCCAGCAATGTGGAAGCGCTGGGTGATGCCTAGAGCCTGACAAAGATGTTGCGTGACAGCGCCCGTGAAGTGGGAGCCTAAATCCGAATCTATAACCTTCGGGATCCCCCACACTGAGAACAGGCGGCTCAGCAGCAGCTTAGCTGTGGTTTGGGCATCATTGGTCTTGCACGGAAATGCTTCAACCCATTTAGAGAAGGGGTCCACTATGGTCAAACAAAACTTGTGACCGTGGCGAGTCTTGGGGAGAGGACCGATGAAGTCAATTTGGATGCGGGCCCAAGGACCCTCCACCCTCTGATGCTGGATGGGTGCCTTGGGGCCGGTGGGGTCCGCATTAACGGATGCACACGCTAGACAATTGTCTACCCGTTGGGCAACGTCCTCTCTGACGCCGGGCCACCAACCTGTGTCGCGAACGCGAGCGTGTGTTATATCTTTCCCTCTATGACCCTGCTCGTGGACATACTGAATCAGGTCCCCTCGAACCGAAACGGGAACGACCCAATGACGGTTATGTGAGGAGTCGAGCGCCCAGACCACACCTTCCAGTTCCTCGATTTTAAACTTCCCGGTGGGATCTTTGCCCTTGGAGAGCAAGTCCATCACATCAGAATCATCCTTCTGCAGCGCTCCCAAATCCATAAGTACAGGAGAGAGGGGTGCACGGGTGCCTTCTGTCGCACGCCTGCTGCGGGTGATGACCGCAAAGACGGGCAAGTCCGGTGCAGGTTCTGGAGGGGAGGGGGTGTCCGTGACGGGATTGGGGTCAGGGGATGCAAGTCCCTGGTCTCCCAGGGCGGCTTCTTTAGCCAAAGAATCAGCGAAATTATTCCAGTAGGCCGTCGCTGAATCGACCTTCTGGTGCCCCTTCACATGAGTGATTTGGGTGGGGGCGGTCCTGTCATGGAGGATGCGAGCCACCTCTTTCCAGAGGGCAGAATGCGCTACTGGCTTTCCCTCCACATTCTTCCATTGACGTTTTTCCCAGTGTTGGAGCCAAACAGTTGCAGCTTTGGCAGTCCAATCAGAATCAGTATAGATAGCAAGTGGGCGATCTAGGGGCTCCAAGGCCAGCACGGCTCGCAGCGCCGCGACCTCAGCTGCTTGGCTGGAGTGGGGGCGGACGGGGGCTTGCAGCTGGTAACCATCCTGCACTCTCACAGCACCGAATCCCGTACAGGGGCGGCCATTCACATGGAAGCTAGACCCATCGCAGAACCAACAGGCAAATCCTTGCAGTTTGGCTTCTTCGAGGGGGACGCCCCACACAGCTGGCCATGGATCGTGATCCACCATGGGTAGCGGGCATTCGTGCTCCTCTCCTGTGGCAAGGAGGCCATAGGGAGCGAGGGGTTCGGAGTTCTCCCGTTTGTACTCAACACCCTTGTTCACCAAAGCCAGTGTCCATTGGGCAATCCTAGCATTCGACACTTGTCCATCCTGAATCCTACCCGATAGGATGTATTTAAGGGGTGTGTGTGTCGTTTGTACCACCACCCGGGAACCTCCTATAATGAATTCCCAGTGGGACAACGCCCACACAAGAGCTAAGCAGCTCTTTTCACAGGGGTTAAATTTTTGCTCCACCGGGGACAGCGTCCCGGAGGCATAGGCAATAACCCTTTGTGTTCCAGTTTGGAATTGGGTCAGAGTGGCTCCGATGCCAACATCCGACTGTGCCAGTTGTACATAGAACGGTTTGCGTGGGTCCGGGTGAGCCAGGGCGGGGGCGGAAGCGAGGCATTGCTTGAGCGTAGCAAAAGCCTTCTGTTCTTGGGGACCCCATCGCCACGGGGCGTTTTTCTTCAGCAAGGCATAGAGCGGTCTCGCTTTGTCTGCGAACGCCTCTATGAAATCCCTTGAGAAGTTGAATGTCCCTAACAAAGCTCTTAAGGATGCCACATCATTCGGAGCAGGTAGGCGTGAGATCACTTCCATTCTCTGAGCGTCTGGGGCTCTACCATCAGGTCCTAATGACAAACCTAGGTACTTCACGTGAGTTTGCACAAGTTGCGCTTTTTGGCGGCTCGCCTTGAAACCAGTGTCTCTGATCACGGTGAGGACTTCCCTGGTGATGGCTATGACTTCCTCACGAGTGGGGGCGTGCACAAGCACGTCATCAACATAAGAGACAACCTGCTTTCGTGACTCGGGTTTCAGCCGTTCCCACATCTGCACCACGTGTGCATGGCAGATGCTGGGGCTAGAGTGAAATCCCTGAGGAGTCCGCTTGAAAGCATATTGTTGGCCTCTAAATGTGAAGGCGAACTTGTACCAGCAAGACTCATGGAGCCTGATCAAGTGGAACGCATTAGCCAAATCAATCACGCTGTAATAGCGGGACCCCGCCGCAATGGCAGCCAGGATCTCGCCATATTTGGCCACAACCGGGGCTACCGCTGGCGTGATCCTGTTCAGAGCGCGAAAGTCCACGGTCATCCGCCACGTGACTCCATCCGCTTTCAGGACTGGCCAGAGCAGAGAGTTGCAGATAGACTGCATTGGTATTATGACATCCCAGAACAAAAGTCCCTGGATAGTCTTGGCAATACCTTCCTCGGCTTCGGTCGGGAATTTGTATTGCCGCTGCGGCTTCGGATCAGGGCCTTTGATCAGCACGCATGCATTTTTGACAGTGCCACATTCGGCTTTGTCCGTGACCCACACCTCAGGAAATTCCTGTTCCCATGGGTCATGGACGATCGAGGTAATTGGAAAGGGTGCATTCAAGGCGGTACAGCGCTGAATTGCATTGATCTCGGCAGGACCACCTGGGATCTGCCACAAAAAGCCGTTGGCGAGATCAATGGTCAGAGCGTGCGCCTTGAAAAAGGGTGCCCCCAGGATCCCATCATCCTCTCCCTGGTTAGTGCAGGCCGATACCGTAGTGGATAAGGTTCCAATGGCGATTGGAACCTGCCTCCACACCTCAGCGGTACGCACTCCTCCTGCAAAACCAGAAAGGGAAACGGAGTCCTGGCTGGGCTGGCCTTCTTGGGCCAGATGGGGGTGTAGGACATTAGTGGCTGCGCCTGTGTCCACAAGCAGAGTTGCAGGGATTCTATTCCCGGGAGCTCCTATCCCTGCCTTCACGGTGGGTCTTCCCCAATGGTCAGGGCGAAGGTATGCTACCACACCCTGGGGAAGACGCCTGCGTCCCGGGCGTCCCTAGTCCTCCTGTGTCGGACTACCCTGTGGAGGGTGTGCCGTCGCAGGATGCACTTCCGACACCGGGAGGCGTGGCTGGTCGGACAGAGAGAGAGTCTGCAAA